CTCTAACACTCTACTCCCAAGGCTTTGCTGCTGGACAGATCATTAGTTGGTCTTGGTTTTCTGATACATACTGAAGTGGAATTTTTCACCAAAAACAACTTACACATTTTATGTGTGCAAGTATCATGAATTTAAATTATTTTTTAACAAAACAACAATTCTCCAGTAACTTAAACCAATAGCTTTTTGGAAGCGAACTCTCACTGTTCAATGGCACCTAGTTTACCTCTACTGCTATCTAGGGAACGATACACTTATGTAAATGAGTCCCACTGCAGGGACAGTGACCTCTGACCTCTGCACGGAGTGATGTCTCCCTGGTAACAGGCCCACGGGGACGTCCCACGGCCGTGCCTTACCTGTGCGTGGAGGAGAACCTGCCGCAGGACTTCATCTCCAGCGTGAGCTCCGCCAGGTCCAACTCAAAGATCTCAAGCGAAGCAGTGGTGCTGAAGGTGGCATCCAGCTGTTGGGCAGATGTGCCTGGGAGGGTGGGGGGGCACACACTAAACATACAGGCAAGCATGGAGAAGCATGAAGGAGCATGGTGAAGGAGATGTGGTGGGCCATGCTAGCAGGACACGTGAAAGGGGGAAAACAGCACTGATCGCAGAGGGATGTGAGTACTATGACGGGTGTCCGTGGCCATACCAGCTGCCAGGTAAATCGGGTGATGCTGTGCTGGGCTCCACGCCTGAATGGCAGTACGGTCGATCTCCTTCAGCTTCATCCTAGTGAGGAAACATCAGCTAATATCAAATGAATCTCCAAACCTACTCTGCTGCCATAAATACCCGTAGTATTACCCAGGGCAGACATATAGAACAGAACAGTGGTACTATATTCATCTCCATGGGAAAACTCATCCCCATCTTGCCCTCCATGAGACACATGGACACATACAGCTCTGAAAAAGAATTAAAGACACCACAGCAAAATTTTTAGTTTCACTCATTTCTCAATTTATCTGTGTAAAATACAGATTATATTTGCAAATTCCAGCCTGAGTCTTCCCTGCTTCTCAATGATAAAGGGCTTCTTACTTGCTTTATGGGTCATCAGTGCTGCTTGTAGGAGCCGTTTATGAACTGTCCTAACAGTGCACTTCACACCACTTAATGATTCCCATTCCTTTTGAAGGTCACTTATGTCATCTTACAATTCATGAGAAACTGTTAACATGACTTAATGATCATCTCTGGCATTAGAAAGTCGCTTCCACTCTCTACCGGTCTGGTTTCTGGTCATTCCCAGTGTCTCCTGCTTCCCCTTATTCTTGTGTACTGCTGTCTTATAAAATTTGAACCTGGAAACAACCGGCTGCTCAGTGTAGCCTTCAGTCATCAGAACCACAATTAAACCGGGATCTGAAAATGCAGAGATTTAGAAAATATAAAGCGGTCTAAATTTTTTCAAGAGCTGTATACAGGTGAGAGCAAGCTTGGGGGTCACAGCTCAAGATCAGCCAGCCTGCAGCACCCATGGAGCTGGGGGTTAGGGGCCTTGATTATGGGCCCAACAGCAGCACCAGTCTTCTAGCCCCTGGGACTGGAACTGGTGACCATCCGATCACGGGCACAGAGTCCTACCCTCCAACCCCACCAAAGTGATTATGTCAGAAGTGGAATGTATGACTTTCAAATGGAAGTTATTACTTGTTTTTTCCCCAACTGTGTGGAGTGTTCTTGCTCATTTTTTCAGTCATTTAAGTCATGAAGCTAACATGACACATGGCCATAAATCTTAACCAGTTTGCAATTCAATGTGTTAATTCAGCTCTGTCATAAATCTTCATTCCTCCAAAAGCTAAGAGCACCTAAAGCAGGTTCAACAACCGTAAAAGGATGGCAGGTAAATAAATAAAAAACTTCATAAACTACTAATACAAAATATGTCTGTCTCAAACGTGAAAATGCCAGTCACTAACTGGGGCCATGGACACAGATACTAACCCACACCAGTGAGTGTGATAAACGTTGTCTATCTTAGGTCTACATTAAAGCATGGCTGAAAAGAAACAAAATACACGAATATACGTGTTTACCCCAGCCTCTCAGTTTATTATCATATTTATCTAGAAAACCTCAACTTTGGAGATAATTATACATATTTATATAAATGCATAACGTTGTACCACGATGTGTGAACGTGAGAACTACATGCTGTATTATGATAAAATGTATTGAAAGAGCAAAAAGTTCGCTGGAATAGGGTTTCATAAATGGAACTTATTCTAAAGTAAGCATGTCCAATTATGTACAAACGGGTGCATTTGGACTGGAAAACTATAAAAGTCATTAAGTGGAAATTTGTACGCTGTGTTCAACCCCGGCAGGGCCGATGACATTCCGCAATTCCGGTGAGTGCTGGTTTCTGCTGCCCATAATTACTATCACCATCATCATCTTCATCAACATCATCGCCATAGCCATCGAAAACCTAACTTGTACAGCATTACCTCGTTGTGCAACTATTCTTTGTGCACATGCATTTACCATATGTGTATACGTTTCCCATTTTATTAAAATATATATACACAAAACTCTCTCTCACTCACACACACTCTCTCTCTTTCTCTCTCTCTCTCTCTCACACACACACACACACACACACAAATATATATGGACAGCTTCTTTAAAACACAGCTTTGGCAATCTTTCAAGCACCTAAAGTTAGTGCCAGATGTATCTTTCTGTGATGAAAGGTGGTGAGTCGAGGGGTGACGATCATTGTTATTGTTGTCTAGTCAGCTAAACGCGTCATAAACACTCTCCATTCTGGTCGGTGAAGCAAATATTGACTGATGTAGAGTAAAGAGACGGAAGCTGGTTAAGCTTTCAATATGTAATGTATTGTAATGTACATTCAGTATGTAATGTATACATACTGAATGATTTAGAAGAGAGTGTAGGATTTAGATGTGCAGTACTAATGGCTACTGTAAGCAGATGGCTAGGCGAATTAATCTGCCGATGAATGTTATTTCACCGGAATGCTTGGGGGAAAAAAAGTGCCAACTCCAGCCTACCTGAACCCGGAGACACTGTCATTAAGCAAACCAGCCAACAAGGTAGCCGGCTAGCTATCTAAACATAGGTGGTCAGAAATAATCCCAAAAAGTACTTACGTTCCCCCTTCGGCGCTATGTTTCACACAAAAAAAAACAAAATAATAAAAAAAACAATAAACTACTGTGAAGCAGCAATGTTGATCAAGTTTTGTCACAGCCCCTTATCCTGGTTGCGTTAAATTGCTATGATATAAGCTTTCCAGACGATAGTCCCAGCTGCAGGATGAACTTCCACGTCCCCACTGGTGTCCATCAACGTGGCATTGCTGGTCCCGCCCCTCGCGCCAAGCACTTCCGGCGGACACGAGCGGCGCGTGGGGGAAGGTCCTGGCCGAGCTCGGTTCTCCGGAGCGGCGAAAGGTGTGCAGCCGTATGGTAGGGTAAAGTTCGGCACCCATAAACTATTTAGCGCTGTCGTTTTTTTCCTCCTTTATGACTTTATTGGAAATAGCCTAATCTGATATTGCACCTCCCTCTAGCACAGGAATGAAAACAACATTTGTCTCTATATGCCTAAGCCACACAATCAAATAACGACCCGTCGATAGAGGTGAAACGCATAAAACAATGTAATGTTATACACCGAGTATGGGGAAAGTATTAGACCTATTTTTGTACATCGCGTCTCGTATTTATGAATGAGAAAATAGTGCCCTATAGGCGTCGCCGTTTCCAAAGCTGTACTTTGTTCCGTTTCAGATTACCCGAAAGTTCCTTTAAATCAAAGCATCAGTATACGTTATATACCTGCTGTCCATTCGCTCCACCAGTGTCCTGGGTACTCTATATATAACACTTACGTAGTTAATATTTGTACACTGTCAGTGTTGGAAGTTTATAATTTAGCATTATGAATAGCTTGTTCACATGCCACTGATATCACTCTATACTGGATTGCCATCTTCTCTCCATAGATTTTTACTTAAATGATGACAGACCGTTTATTAGCCATTGCCACAAGTACAGCTACATTTGAATGTTTCTCTTCACTTACATCATCTTGCTCTCCATAGCTTTGGGGGGGGGGGGTTCATAGCACAGGGGCAGTCAATGTGTAGCACACCTGGAGTTGGGGGATAAGGGCCCCGCTCAAGGGCCCACAGACATGCGACTGTTCTGCCGAGGCAAGGGCACAAACCAGCATTCTTACCATGGGCACAGAGACTGAGCGACTCATCACCCCAGGAGTTTCTCCCACAGTTCAAATATATGCACCTTAGCCGGCTTGTTGTTTGAATGGATCACATTATGACCTCACACCTGCACGGTTTGGGACTGAAATTCCACCCTGGCTCTGAGCATTTGCAAGAACCATGTAACTGGGCAAACTGGCACCTCTGAATTTCCATGTTATTCGGTATACATCTTGTGATAGACTAGTATACCATCCAGGGTGAAATGAAATTCCCAGTGCATCCTGAAATAGGTTCCACTCACCACAACACTGTACCAAATAAGCTGTTGCTGAAAATTGAAGGATATTTACAGAGCGGTTTTGGTAAACATTAGCCAGGCTTGCACAAAGTTAAAACTTTAATTTTAATATTACAAAGTACCAAATTAAGTTGAAATTCCTTTCTTGGGATTCCAAATTACCATTGGGGTCAGTCTGCCATTTGCACGACTAATGCACCAGCCGTTTCCCCTAAAAAATATGCCAGCATAAGCCGACACCCAAATACTAAATGGCCAGAAATGATGACCATTCTTTCATACAGGGCTGTCTAAGTGACCCATCCATGTTGTGGGGAGGATGCAAGACTGCCCCCCACCCACACTCTGACATAATTACATAACTATTCTCAAAGCAGGCAGACCTGCTATATACCAGAAAACAGGGTGCCTTTCTGTCCGCCAGTGCTTTACACGTGTGATTTATACTAGTCCACAATGCCTGTAATTTATATCAAGCTGAATAAATAAAATCACATTGAAATAAAAATATTTTATTAACATACACAAAAAGATTAGTCAGCAAAATTGACCTCCATGATCCATATTTGGGAGAAAAAACTGCCCCTAAAAAAGAGGGGTGGGAGTAAATCACATGCCAGAACCAAACATAAATCCTAAAAAACTGGAACATTTATCAGCTATAAAATATAAACAGCCAGTTTATTTCAAGGATTAATATGATTCTACAGACTGCCCTCATATAGTCACAATGTAATCTTTCCCCTGTACAGGGTCAGATGGGTAGTGATATCACATAATCATAGGGACAGTCTGAATCTGGGGGAATCTCAGGATTACCTCATCATACCCCGGTTGATCTGGCTTCCTTCCACTGCTTAATCCATCCAGCAGAACACATTCTGGAAAAAAAAAAAAAAAGATCATACATGATCTAAGGAAACTACTCAGTCTCAGCGGTCACCCGCAATTAAAATGTAGGATTTTGTTATTACCATGTAAATTGTTTAGGAATAGCCCGCCATGGTACTCGGTGCAATACCTGTGAGTAGAAGTACAAGTTACCACATGTAACATGCGTTTTTTAGTGCAAAACTATATACCGATAGATCAAGCAAAATGATTTGCATATGAGCAGTCATTACAAAACTGCACCTAAATGTGCAGAACTTTCAGGTTTAATTTCCCACAGCACGATAGCAAATCCGGCATGACACATTTGCAGCCTTTTTAAATGGCTTTGTAGATTGTAGCTAAATACCACGGCTTGGATGTCCTCATATGAAAATTAGCATAATCACAGCAGTTCATAATGTGAACAGCAAAAAGTTCTTAATCATCGGACAAACTTGCTCAGGCAGCTAAGTCACAGGGTTACACAAAACAAACGTACTTCTTGAGTAAGCACGGCGGTACAGCATTCACGACCATTTGTCAAAGCACAAAATAAAAATCCCTCTAGTTTGCGCCATAGTGCGGAAATTATCTGCCTGAATTTTTAAAAAAAAGTTAACCGTTACCACAAAACTTCACATGACCAACTAAATAGCGACAGTCACAAAAGAGAAACGTTCACGGCACGCTTCCCTTTTGTATAATGTTGCAAAGCATTGTGGGTAAACGACAGAGTAACGGGACTTTACGACATATCCAACGTTTTACGTCATTGGGCGTGTTTACAGGTTTGGCGCGCGTTCGCTTTGTCAAAACCGGAAGTAGTGCGACTTTTATCATCGCCTTTTTTTTTTTTTTTTTTTTATCTACGCGTGATGAATACGCCGTATACAGTTTACCATGGGTAATCTGACTCAACTGTAGGCTTTACAATTTAAACAAAGATACAGTAAATGTTCTTAAGAGTGACGGTAAATTTCGGTAAAAATAAAAAGTTGAGAAATGTTGGTGAGCTCTGAGGAAGTCTGCTGATCGTCAGATATGTTGGCCTTTAGATGAAACCAACAATTAATACCAGATGACAATAGAGGAGAGGAACCAAAAACTCCCAAGTAGGTAGAAAAAAAACCTGCAGGGGTCCAAGGTCAACAATAATCGAAAAAAGGGGGCTTGCTTGCTAAAGACATCGTGTAAAAACAACTGTGGTCAGGGTCGAGGCCAAAGTCCATCAATGACTCAGTTTTCCATGCCGGTCCGTATAGGGTGGCAGATCGAAGGCTGCACCCACAATGTTTAAGTTTGTAAGTCGCCCTACAATGTCACCATTGAGCTTGCATGTTCTCTCTATGTCATTGTGGGGTTTCCTCTGGGTATTCTGGTTTCTCCCCAGAGTCCAAAAACATGCTATGATGAATTAGAGTTTCCAAATTGCCCATAGATGTGCATGTGTGAGTGAATTGTGTGTGAGTGTGCCCTGCGATGGGTTGGTGCATTATCCAGGGTTGTTCCCTGCCTTGTGCCCATAGCCTCTGGGATAGGCCCCAGACCACACCCGTGACTCTGAATAAGACAAGCAGTCACAGGAAAGTAAATGCCTTATATGTAAGTAGGAGAACTTTGAAGCCAGTCCTGAACCTAACAGGAAACCAGTGTAGGGAACTAAGAGCAGGGGTTATGTGTTCAAACTTTATGCTAATGGTGATAAATTGAACTGCTGCATTTTGAATACGCTACTAGGTGCTTATCATGTGGTGTGTGCTCCCAGATAATACAGCATTACAGTAGTCTAATGTACAGTATACAAAAGCATGTAGTTTCTCAGTGTTTTGAATAGTAAGGAAATGTCAATTTGGCAATGTTACATAGCTATAGGAAGCGCACCTTCGATACTGCATCCGCATGTGATTGAATGACAAGCCTGCATTTAAGGTGGTGCCTAAGTTACAGGCTGAGCTGCTGAGGGAAAAGATCAGCCCCTTAAAGTGGAGCACGGTGATTCTAGCATGTCTATCCACAGACTTCGCTCCAAACAACAGAACCTCAGTCTTCTGATTTGGTATCAAAAAAATTTCACTCATCCAGGTTTTAACTTCATTACAGCAATTAGCTAAAGTGACAATAGATGAGATATCATTAGGCATAACAAATATTTTTGTATATTTGGGTGTCATCTGCAAAGTAGTGATAACATTAACATTAACATTATTAACATTATGTTATCTCATTATGTTACCTAATGGCAACATGTAGAGAGAGAACAGTATAGGATCAAGAACTGATCCCTGTTGTACTCCATATTTGTCTGGTGACATTGACAACGGAGAACAGTTATCGGACACTTAAGCATATTCATATCAATTAGTCAAATAGGAGAAATACATGAGTAATGTGATTATTAAGGAATTTGTTTTTAGTAAAAGAAACTCCATTCATCCATGCATTCATTCTCCGCTGCAGATGCCCAAACCACATCAACTGGCTCCCTTCATTGTGGAGAAGTAGCAGTTTCTACTTTGAGACCCAAAACTTTTGACCATAGGTGAGGGTAGGAATGTAGATCAACTGGTTAATCGATATAATAGAGTTGAAAGGCGAGGCTCTCTTCTCCACAACAGACCAGTGCAATGTGCGCATAACTACTGATGCTGCACTGATCTGTCTAAGACCCCAAGATACTTTAACTCCTCTGCTTGGGGCAGTAACTCATCCCCAACTTGGAGGGAGTAGTCCACCCTATTTCACTTGAGATCCATGGTCTCATACTCAGAGGTGCTGATCCTCATCCCAGCCACTTCACACTAGGCCGCAAACCTCCCCAAGTGCACCCTGGAGCCCTGAGCTCGATGAAACTAACAGAGCCACATCATCTAACAGCAAAGACGCAATCCTGAGGTTGCCAAACTGGACACCCTCCATCTCTTGGCTGTGCCCCAAAATTCTATCCATAAAAGTTATGAACAGAATCAAAAGATATGTGGGAGTTTGCCCAACCAGTCAACGTCTGTTTTGTGGACTCGGAAAGGCATGACTGTGCCTCTCAGGAGGTGCTTCGGGAGGATGAGGTGCTGCACCTACTGCCACGGGACATTTGGTGCCTCTATAACCAGAGCTTGGTTCGTGTTGCTGGCAGTAAGTCAAACTCATTCCTGGTGGCTGCTGGACTCCACCAGGGCTACCCTTCGTCACTGATTCTATCAAAATATACTTAAATTTAAAACAGTATTTTAAGTTTTTTGCATGACTAATAATTTTTTTTACGTTTACTGAACATCTGCCTTTCAAAAAAGTTATTTACTTAGCTTTCTTGAAACATGATCATTTCTAACCCATTTTCCTTGGCCTAGAATATTTACCCACCAAACTCCCGTTAGCCAGAGTCCCATTATTTTTTGGTATTCCAAAAAAAGTATTAAACTTCATTCCTTTGTTGGATATTCTAATATACCATTCTGACTACACATAAGGTTCTCTAAAATTTAATAAAAAAAAAAAAAAAACATTTACAGAACTGTATAAATTTATTTGCTTCAGTTTGTGTACTATACATGGTCACAGAACATTTTATGCACGTTTTACTGAATATAAATCTTTAGGTTTGCAAATAATTAAAAATTATTTAATTCTCAGATACTAGGTGTTATATTGCCATAGGGATAAACATGAGGTTGATAAATTAAATAATTCTCTAGACAGAACAAAAGTTTACAAGTACACTGGGGAAAAACTGGGAAAAGTAAATAGAACATTGGTTTCATTTTCAACGCAATACAAGCAATGGTCACATCAACATATACAATCCACAAATCCAAATACTACAGAATTCTTACAAGACTTTCAATACACATGGCAGAGGCGCAGGAAAGAATAAAACATTTACATATTAGTACAGATTTATGTTGTGAAAAAAGCAAGTATTGCAACTGATAAAGTACAAAGAGACTTTTCCTTTTACCAAATTACATTTATATACAGATCACATGGTTGAGTCACCTGAAGTTAGGCAGGGTTTCTCCCCCAATAAAAATTAACTATGGGGAGTCTTTAAAAAGGCCAGCAGAATACCGATTAGTGGTGAATGGTCAGTCAATGAATGATGTAGACCTGGTTTGTTCCTTTTTTCCTAGCAAAAGGATTCCTGCAGTGTGAAGTAGACAAACTGGGAAATAAGGGGGAAAAAAGACCCAAAAACAACTCATATGGGCCAAGTTTGGGTTGTTTGTGCTTGGGTACTTCAGGAGGTCTCAGAAAAAGCTAGCTGCTTTGAAGTGCTTGTAGGCATGAACACATCAGCGACGGCCATTTTTGTACATCATCACAAAGACATGCAGGTGAAGTATGGGAGGAGGCGGCGGACCCAACACTGCCGTCTCTGTCTGCGCTGCTCCCAAGATGATGTACACCTGGCCGTTTTGGTAGGGCGACACATGTAAACACCTCCGAGCAGGCTTTTTTCTTCATTTGAATGAAGATGAAATGCGATATGATTGGTTTACCATGTTAGGAATATTAGGAAACCTGTATGTTAAATTCACAATGGGGTTGTACCATTTCAAAGCTACAGAGAAGTGATAATACCCACACTAAAATTAAATTAAAATGCAATATAATGTATATGGAATAAGGTCTTTGTGGCCATATCTTCATACAACTCAAAACAGAAGTATATATTTTTTTTTTAAAAAGAAAAAAAGGTGTCAAAACTAAAAAGCTGTTTTTTTTTTGTTAATTTGAAACAGTAAGCCTACCCCCAGCTGCTCTATCAACATTACAGCAAACTCCTTAGGTACCTTAGACACGCGACATGTTAAATAGGGTGGGGACCATATTCCTAGAGGCCCTGAGTAGAAGAGAAACTTAAGGCATGTGTATCATGGGGAACAAACCATCATTAATCCCATTCTTGTAGTTATTTTAACAATACAGAAAAAAAAAGAAATTAAAAATGAATCCCTTCAGTAACCCGGGTTTACAATGCCTTTAAAACACCTAAATGCATCCAAATTAAGCACAGAATAAATAAAAATACCAGGCAAAGTTATATCGGGACTCAACTTCATTAAATTTTCTTAAAACCATCTGCATATCTTCATCATCCGCATGAATCAGTTGAAATCGATAAACTCCCCACCATTCCACATAGAGAAGGCACTCTGCAATTATCGACTCTGAAAAGTCTTCACAACACAGTTTCAGTTTGATAAAGCCCTTTCATGTGTCGCTTTATAGGAAAAAAACTGCGCTTTCAAGTCAAGTAAACCAAGGGGGGCACTTCAGGGACAGAATCCATTTTTTAGCAGGATGCAGGAGAACATGGTTCAGTAGGGACAGGTATCAAACTCCATCAGCGCCACACCACCTGCTAAATGAACGATCCGCCGACCTCATTACGAAGTTATACCTCACCTGAAAATTTTAATTTATTTCCAAATCAAGGGTTAAAGATTAAAGCAGTTTGTCAATCTAGTGGGGGAAAAGTTAAATAAATAAATTAAAAAAGAGGGGGGGGGGATCCCACAAATGAAACCCACAAATTACGCGAAACAGCAAAAGCTCTCGAATATCACATTCATTTAATAATCCAATCGCTGTCACGATAATCCACTCAACTGCCTTTTTAGAACACAATTAAAGTAGGAAAATTTCTCCCTTTACAGACAGCTTGACTGGCTGTACATCAATAATGTACAGATTTTACTGACCATCCAAGCAGATGACACTGAATAGTAATATTCAAGCATCTTAAAATAAATGGGAAAGGGAATATACCAGTGCCATGTTTAAACTGTACGGGTGCAACTCTGCTGCAAAGGACAGAAGCTGAGAATGGCTGTAGAAATGAGCCAGTGGCCTTATGGCAATGCATTGATATAACTGCAATTATGCTGTTTCAGCTATTTGGTTGAATGCAGAAGTACAGCTTGTGTATTAAGCTGATAAAGACCATGGATTTCAAGTCAAAAAATTGAAACTTAGCTTCTCTAATAAACTGCAGCTGTTCATCTGATGCACTCATGATTCCTGCGTTTAACTCTCTCCCAGAAAATCTTTAAAACGCACTCACCAATTAAAGCAACAGCAATGGCTACTGTGCACAAAAAAAAAGCATGATTAAAATGAAGTGAGCTTTGAGCCATACGTCTACCACCGGTTCCCACAGGCATCCATTAGTAAGGATGAAACGCCTGTAAAACAAGGAAGGAAGGAACTGGGAGAAACAGGTCCACTATGATGGAGGGGGGGGGGCAGGGGGGTTGGAGAACCAGAGGGGGCAAGAAAAAAGAAAAAAAAAATTCATTAAAATACCTACTTCGGAAATTTACACGGTCACTCTAAAACACCCCAAAAGCAAATAGATCCAGGTCACGTGACTATGCGGCGACCTCTGCAGTCTTACATTCCCTTGGAGTTTGGTGAGAGTCCCTCCAGGCTTATGCTCCAAAGGGAGTTGAGTTGGGCATAGTAGTTAGCTTAGCCAGGGTCTCTGTCCTTCCCCCCCCATCTAGTCTGCTGCCCCAGCATGTGTCTCAGACATTGACATCATTGTGACTGGAGCCAGCTGGTGAAGTTGGGGCTCCAGACAGGCCTTCTCTGCTACATTTCTGACAGCTAAATGCCAGCCTAAGGATCAGTGAGGTGAACTCAGCCCAGTCCTGAAGGCCCCAGGCCCCTGCTCTGGACATGCTGGACTTTGGGGCCTAGCAGTTAATGGAACAGTCTGCCTTGGCCTTGCCGGCGGAGTTGATGATTCTCATCAGGCAGCGGCCAAACTCCTCCAGGATCATCCTCTCAGCCACAGCCTGGGGCTGGTTGGTCAGCTCAGCCTGTTCTGCCTGCTCGATCAAGCAGTCGCAGGTCGCCTCTGCCACCTCCTTGGTGACGAACGTGTAGGGGAGCCTGCGGGGAACGAGTCATTCAGGTGATAAAATTCAAAACATCACCTCCAACACAGCAGAGCCACAGCACAGACTCACTTTCCCCCGCCGCTAGTGACAGCCGGCGTAGTCCTGGTCAGCAAGTCTGAGATCTGGAAGGAGAGCTTGGTCTTGGCGGCAGTCTGCTGCTGGACGCGGACCTCCGCAGCATCTGCCAGATGCATGAGTGACTTCCTCTCCAGGCTCTCCTCAAAGTTCTTGCAGCCCACACACTTGCAGATCGACGAACACATGATCTTTGCCTGAGACAGAGACCAAAGAAAGTTTCATCAAATTGATCGCCGGGATGCTTCAAACGGCAGGTTGAGGGTCTTGCGAATAGGTTACATCAGACGCCTGTCTTGAGACGATACAGCCACGGGAACACACTCAGCTCGTAACACTCGCATCAAAAGCCTGTCCCGCAATGATGCAGCCGCGGGAACATGCTCACCTTTAAACACTCGCATTACAATGGTCGTCCTGCAACGATATAGCCGCAGGAATGCACTCACCTCGTAACACTCGCAGTAGTTCTTCAGGCATCCTGACCGCTTGCAGTTGCAGCCCTTGCTGTGCCTCCGGTCTGATTCACCCTCCTTTCCTTTGCCAATCTTGGGCTTGAAGGCCTCTGGGTTTCGGTCCAGACAGGCCTGTCCACACATAGATATAATAAAATCATGCAGGTTCTCATTTACTATTAGAGATTTTCAGGAAGCATCCAGGCTATATTAACACTAGTATATTCTGCCATACATTAGCAGGGAACTATGGGTGCATACATCGATTACAATTAAGATGTTATGAGCAAACATTGGGAAGTCCAAGGCTGCAGAAACAGGCCGGGAAGCCAGCCGTTGGAGCTCCCGACTGCAGAGGGATACCTTGATGGCTTTGAGGCGCTCCGTCTCATGCTCCAGGTTGTTGAAGCAGTTAGTGCAGTTGCAGTTATTGCAGAACTCTCCATTGGCAAAGCAGTCGCAGTAACTGGAAGACAGGGCTCATCAGGGGGTGCTGAGGAGGCGAAGCTCCCCCCATTAAAGAGACTGGGCCATTGCACAGCCCAAATTCCCAGTTTCATATTTACAAATTAAAAGCTTTATCTGCAGTTCAATATAACTGAATAGCAAAATATGCCAAATGCATGTAGAGTAAAGATGAAAACATCACATTTATAAGCTTCAAAAATGTATAAAACTAAACTTACAGTTTTAGACACTGTGACTTTGTGCAGTTGCATGGTTTTCGTGGCCTTGAAGCAGAATCAGATGTCGATAAACTACTAGGGGAAAAAACAAAATAAAATAAAATATATATAAATACACGCAAGTTACATATGACATGTATGACAGGATTTTGGAAGAAGAAACCCCCCAACAGCAGCAGAGCTAAAAAATGTGAACACATCCCTTAAGGTGGACCTGGGCTCCTCTGATTGGCCGCATCCATCCCCCTTTGCCATCAGCCCGACTCACCCATTAAGGGACAGCCTGGCCTGAGTCTGGACGCTGGTGGGCGTGGAGAAGCTGGTGCTGCTGGCCAAGGTGACGAACGGGGACTGCTGGAGCTGGGGTTGGGGCGGGCATTGAACCATAAGAAGAGTTTCATGGTTGAGGAATAATCAGCTCATGCAAGCTGTCATTAAGCCTAGTTCTGCAGTGAAGAAGTTAGTGACCCCTAATCAACAGCTCAGAAGTTCTTGGTTTAATAATAAAAAAATGCACTTAAAATACCTAAAACCAAGAACAAGCTGAACACAACTTCCCATAACAAACAGGTGCAGACTATCAATCCTTTATAAGTCAACCATCAACTGAGATACTGGGTAATTTACTATAACCAACAGCAAGGCTGAACGATTTGGGGAAGATGTCTAATCGCAATTTTGGTGACAGATATTGCAATAAAGACAAAGACTGACGCTAAAGAGGAGCATGGCATGAATCTGTAATGTGAGACTAAAACCTTGCCCCCTGCTGAAGAGAGGGTATGTGGACACTAAAGTGGAGCTCAGTGATCGGCAAGGATGAAGCTCAGTGATCGCCCAGGTATGTTACCCAGCTCCCCTGCCCTGACCTGGAAAGAGCACGGCACTCGGCCAACACAAACCTGTGTGACATACTGCGCGGGCAACACTGTGTAGCCCACATTGGCCCCGCCTGGGGCGGGTGCCAGCACTGTGCCTGGGGGCAGGTTGGTGAGGTTGGGCTGGATCTGAGGTAAGGCTGTGGCGGGCATGATGAGACGCTGCTGGCTCTGGCTGCTGGTCACCACCTGTGGGGTGGAGCTGCTGCTCAGGGGCTTGGGGACCACCTGGGGGGAAGGGGGGAGTGGAAGGCAGTGGTCATTTTCAGGGGGCAGGGCCGCCCGGCATGGGCAAAAGCGAGGCCTACCTGCTTCATGGGCTGGGCCGGCACGAGGGGCACGGACATCCTCACCGCCGCTGTGTTCACCACCACCGGCTTGGCTGAAAATGACAACCAGCCCACAGTTAATGGCCTGCAGTGGGACATTCCTCTGAAATAATGCCTTGGCTCTGTCAGATTATTGCAGGAAAAGGCAAAAATATTTAATTTCCCTTTTAAGATACAACAGTTGATAGCTAATAACTAGAGGTGCACTGATCCAATATTTGGATAGGTATTGGCACCAATCCTTACCTATCAGACGGATCGGGTATCGGCAATATGTGACCGATCCACATCTGATACTTTAAGTGCAGTGCCACTGCAGTCACCACTGCATTTAAATCAATAAAAAGTGCAGTCAGAGTGGCAATTAGAAATACTTGGCTTTGTGCCAAATGATGACAGTAAACCACTGGACATATGCAAGCCTGATTGCAAGTTGTGACACACACAATACTAACAATGGGGGCAAACACCACAAATTTAGCTAGACATTTAAAGAACTGACAGGCTACACAATACAAAGAGCTTTGAAAGATAGGTATAATTTCTGAATTAATCTAAGAGCTGGTTGTGGTTAAAGGAGAGATGAAGGGAAGATTTTTTTTCTTCAGGTTAAAAGATTTTTGCAATTGTCTTAACGCTGAAATGTTTAACCAATGGTGTGAAGTTATTTTTCCCTGTGGGTTGTGTTTAGCTCCATACGATCTTGTGAAGTTCTGTTGATCACACGGATATAAACTAGAGATGCGCCAATCCAGACCTATTTGACAGATCGGGTATCAGCCATGCTTGACCGATCCACGTCCTATACTTACTTATTTAGTTTTTGGCAATTTGGATAGATTTAACACGAAATAGGAGCTATTTCTACAATCAATCGCACGACAGCTCTTTCCCATTTTACGTGTTTTTTGCAGCATTCAAATTGAACGCTAACGCTGCCCCTCAGTCTTTTTTGCTACTCAGTGGGTCAGTGGGTGTGAGTACAGTAACTTCCGCCTGCTGTGATGTCATGCGCATACCCTTCGCAGTACGAGGAGCGTAAGACAAGACGTGACGATCTGGGAGTATTTTACACTTTTAACAGAAACCAGTAGCACAGTGATTTGCAATCTTTGTTAAATAAAGTTTTGAGAGGTGGAATAGCGTTTAATGGACAATCCCACTTAAAGCGCATGCAACTGTGAGAGAAAAAAAAGCAATGGATGATTTGGGAGTCGCTAACTTGGACTGTTTTGCGAACTCACTGCAGCTTGTGATACAAGAGGGGCTGCCATCGCAACAAAGTGTAACTGAGCTGACGCCAATGGTAGAAAAATTGTGTTCAAATTTTAAGCATTCGCCACTTGTGTATACTTGCTTTGAATATATTCATATTGAACTGCAAATGCCTCAAAAAAAGCTTAAAACAAGACATACAAACGAGGTGGAACAGTACGTTACATGTTTGTAGTAGCCTAATTAAATATTTTTGTCATACATTTTTTCCATCTGTATTTACTAGCTTTAAAAAAAATTATAAATAAAAGTAAAAAGAACTCTTGTATCGGAATCTGTATTGGTATCGGCAGTTGTGTATCGGAATCGGATCGGAACTGAAAAAATATGGATTGGCTCATCCCTAATATAAACCTTTGAAGCTGTGCAATTGTTAGAAGTGTTTGTACGTTGAGACATAGGATGAAGGCATGTAAAAATAATGTATATCTGTTCTATTACGCATTGTAAAAATAATAACAGCTAATTGTTATAGTGTTAACTTACTGCTTGTCAATATTTCTGAATGAGATTACAGTGCGATTACAATGATTATTACTGTATTGATCACTCCCAGCTGTGTATAATATTTTACTTTGACAATACAATGCAAAGTTTTTTTTTTGTTTTAGATATTGACGTGAATTTACAAAATGTCAAATTTTTACTGCAAACAAATTTGCAATGGAAATAAATGTGTCATTGGGTTACATTATATACCGTGTTCAGTATTGAAAATGGTATCACATTTCAATACTTTTGGAATCATATCAGAACCATATTAACAACTAATAATGATATTAACCATATCTGAAAGATATGGATTAGGGCGAAGGAGCATTTTAGGTGTCACACGTGGCCTGGTGGCATAGATTTGCTGGATAATGTACCCATGCCATAAACTATAAAAAATGACATCACACAGTACTGCCACAATGACTGAAATTTCATTGAAAATTTTAAATTTCATTTTGAACAAATTAGAGCTAATAACCACATTAGCCCTAAATACCGCTATGCTATAGAGTAACCATAATCACAACAGAACCAAGGCTGATCAAAGAGACCAATGGTTTAGTTCCAACACAAGGCAATATTTTTACTACTTCATAAAAATTAAAAAAATAAAATCACATCATGAATGTGAGCATTAGCCTGTCAGGACCTTCATGTGTCTAAACATCATTCAGCTACCTCTGCTTGGTGGACAAGGAGAACCAGGATTCATACTCTCACAGCCGGACACGGTGCTCAAGGGCTTTATAGAAGGCCGATCTGACCTGTCTGGATGGCGGGGGAGTTTGTGTTGGGGCTTCCTGTCTGCCCAGTGCCACTGGAGGTTGTCGCGGTCACCAGACGGACGTAGTGGAAACGGCTGCCAGGCACCTGGATTGGTTGCACGTTGGGGGGTGTGGCCAGCGGGATGATGGTCTTGTACTGAGGCGTGCCCACCCCTCCGACTGCCACCGTCTGCACTGGCTTAATAGTCTGGGTGGGGCAGAGATAAAGGGGGTTTTAGAACAGCACTACCTGGCTGGAGTACTTTGCCCCAGCTGAAGTTTTCTAATTGGATTATTAATCTCAAAAACAAAGCTGTGACACTAAACCATTTGCCAACAGCTTGACAGGATAAAGGCTGAAAGAAAGCAACAGAAAACCAAAACAGGGGTCCTATCACCTTCATACACAATATATCCATCCAGCAGTAACACCACACCTCCACCAGAGGCAGCAGCAGTCAGGGTTGTCTAACCCATTCACCTGTGGTGTGGAGCTGCTGGAGACCACCTTGGCTGGGGAGGAGGCTGCAGGCTGCTGTTGGACCGCCAGGATCTGCTGGCCCAGGGCCACATTGATGGGCAGGGTCACTGACTTCTGGGGGGAGCTGGGGGCCTGGGAGGCCACCGAGACCACAGTCAGCTGTGGGCAGATGCAGATGGAAATATGGGGGGGCAGAAGTTTTCACTAGATTTAAGGGATTCTACATTCCTGCTTTCGCAATAGTTGTTCAGAAAAATACATTCTAACGGCATTTAAAGGACATGCATAAGGTAAGGCATTTTAAATTCATATGCAGACCAATTTTAACTGCTCCAGGTTCACAAACTAGTGTTGTGCCAATGTGGTGATTTTAGCCAATAACTGACTAACCTCTGAGCTCCATCTGTAGCGACACTGATGCTGGTGATGTCACTTCTTAAGATCTCATGAATGTGTGTAACATATTATGTTGATTTTTATTGCCATGCCAGCAACTATGGCTGTGTTCACGGCAAGAGTATATGGATATTAAAACATACTGAATAACTCGAAAGGTAAAAACTTCATAAATAACTATAAAACATTGCAAACAGTTAACACATTCCAAATAAGATGCTTAAAATGGCAGTTCAATGGAAAGTGAAAAAGATACGTTTTAGAGGGGATTGGAGCTATCCACCTAGGTCAGGGGTGGGCAGTCTTATCCGCAAAGGGCCGGTGTGTATGCAGGTTTTCGCTGCAACTCCCTAATTAGAGGATTGATTGGCTGAAGAGACCTCACACCTGGGTTTGAAGAGCTGACCTATAGGTTCTCCCCAAAACCCGCATACACACAGGCCCTTTGCAGATAAGATTGGCCACCGCTGACCTAGGCTGTTCTGCCGGCAGTTGCTTAGTTTTGGAGGCATCGGCCGTAGAAATTATGGGCTTCTCTCTAATATAATGGGAGCGAATGGCATTCTTTCTGTTTTGATTAAAGTTCCAGAAAAGCACATTTCAAAAATTCAACAGCAATGTCTCTTACCTCAAATCATGATCCAGTTACTCAAGATAATTCACAGACTTTGTAGTGAGCAAGTCAATGTATGAACTCCACACACATCGTATCATTGCGCAGAAGATATAAGCACGAGCCCCCCGGCAATTTCATTATGCAGTGATTTGATTGTATATTTTTTTCCAGTTTTGAGGTGTACTGCCCCTTTAAGATTAGCTTTTGAAAGAAAGAAAAAAAAACAACTAATAATCCTCTAGCTTGATGAAAAAGAGTCAGTAAAATTGTATCTTTGCCTAAGGGAGTTAAAAGGACAACTGAATGTGTGTAGAAATAACATCATATAATGCAGGCAGTGAGACATCAACGAAGTAACACTGACTTGGGAGACTGTAGTGAGGTTCTAAGTGGTAAATGAGACTAAATCCCTTGCCCCCTACTACGGAAAACGACTGATCATCCAATAGGATCATCTGCTTTATTTTAGTAGTTGTGTTTTCAGCTCCAATTACCCCATGTTTAACATACCAATGTAGATAAAAAAAATACACCAGGGTACCCAAGGGACGATTGTTAAATACACTGGTAAGTAAAACAGAAAAGTGATCCCACCAGATGCAGAACCTCATTTCATCTTATGTTCATAGGATTCTGCCCCTAAATAATATCGTTTCCCAAGCAGATCAAAGTCGCTGGTCTGAGAGCGCCAACCCATTCAGAGGGAGCCGTGAAAGCCAGAGAGGTGGGGCATAACCCACCTTACTGGGGGACTTGAGGGGAGAGATGGCGATCTTGCTGCTGGGCATGGACTGCAGGGTGGCCGTCTCGGAGCTGGCAATGGTCTGGGGTGGGGTTCCAGGGGGGTTCTGGGGAAGCACCCGTCCTGTGGGATGAAACACAGGAATGGGTATATACAGCACTGTGCAAAAGCCTTAGGCAGGTTTAAAGCTATTTATCTGGGTAATTCACTACTATTACCATGCTGCTGTGAGTGTGATGAACTGTCACCAATCATTTAAAATAATTTCCAGCCACCTATTTAAAAGAAGTACTTTCCACTAATTATATCTCTTTTCCCCACACTTCCATGTAACTTCCAAATTAGTGGCAGTGCTTGTGGTCGACCAATCAGCAAGCTATCACTGTAAGTGCCTCCCCAGCAGTTCGTGTTTTAAGGAAAAGTACCTAGTCTGGAGTAGGGACTAAAAAAGGATTCTGGAACTGCCTCCGAGGAACTATAATTGGGCCGAGTTCCTGGGGTGTGAATATGGCAGAAGTTCTTGGTTCTGGATTGTGAAAAAGGTTCCTGCGGTGTGAAAGCGTCTATTGGCTGCTTGCTGCCATCTGATGTTTGACACTTTAAAGCCACCTGGCTCATTTAATGGAGAAGTTAAACGGCAGCTGAGGATATATATATATAGATATATATATATATATATAAAACATACAATATATATATTATATCTATATCTATATATCTATCTATATATCTATCAAACCATCAACAAAGACAGGTACTTAATCTTGGACAGTAACGCATTGCCATGCATATAATGAATACATCTCACAATAACTAACACCAGCAGACTGATTAGAGTGTCCAAGGGGAGAGGTGCACCAAAGTCATCTCAACTTCCCCAGAATGATCAATTTAAACTATTTTACAATATGGGAAAAAATATACAAGGATTATATTTTAAATTATATAAGCTTTTAAAATATGGAATGCGATCAAATATTACAACTTACATTATACATGAATAATAGTTTGTTGTCTACCATTAATTTACATTTTATTAATTTGTTTGACTTTTATCCAAAGCAACTTTCAGTAGATGAAAGGGTTACAATGTATGTGTGCTCCCAGGGAATTGAACCCATGACCTTTGAGTTGTTAATGCAATACTCTTCTTGTTAAGCTACAGGGACATCAGCATAATGGATTATGCAGCATTAGAAAAGCCCTTGAAAATGCATGCAGTGCATGTATAATTTGTCTTGCAGAAGGAAACTAACAATAATGCAACTGAGTGACTTTGCAAACATTACCTGGGATTACTGGCGACACGGATGTCTGACCCGATAGACCTTTACTGTTGAGTGGTTTGGTGATTATGAACTTTGTTATCATCTGTCCTGAAGGCGACGCTTGAGTCTTTTTAGCAATCTGTAAAGTCAAAGCAAGTCTGATGTCATGAAGCTTACAGACACCATGGTGCACAACAATTCATAAACTGCAGGCGAGGTGTTCAGAAATTATAGATACATGAAAAATGTCATGATTTAATTGGGTGCAACGACTGCCCGGGTTCAAGACGGACCCCAAATCTGAATTTCACCAAAGACCAAATTTCTGAAAATCTGCTAATGGCAAATCATTTTAAAACCACATCAAAAACAAGAGTCCCCTCCATTCAAAACTGATAGCATGAAAATTCCCACCTTCCCACCCAACCTTCAGGGGACTTCAAGACATTTGATAAATCCGATTCTTATTCAACAATCAGGACTTGTAAAGTTCTGTATTTTAAGTACAACCGTCTCTTGACAACCACAGATAACAGAACGTATCAGGGTTGGGATGGACTGAAGAATGTTCCCAGAGGTAGAAACAAAGCAGGGTGAAATGGCATTTAATCATTAAGCTGCAATATGTTGGAACCTCCTTCCAATGAGCATAAAAAATGCCCCAAATATTACTACTTTTATCATATTGAACTGAATATAAGGGCGGTACTTTTGCTCTTCCATTGACTTCCGATCAACTACCAGTTACCAAAAGTACCAGTACCGAAAGTACCAAACCAGCTGGGGTACTTCTTTGGTACTTCAGTACTTTGAGGTGGGACTTGAAACACTTTTTTTGGTCAATTGGACATGAAACACAATACAAACACCACCTTGAAAAGTTTCAAAATCAGAAAATGATGATAAAGTATAAAAAAAAAATAAAACATTTGTTCACAAGAACATATAAAAACACAGAGCGCATATAGCGTGCTTTCCTAGCGATGTGATTGTTATAAATATAGTGATGTGATTCTATTGGGGTATTTATTAAACAAAAATACGAGTTCATAAATTTCTCTCAGACGTCTTCAAGTAATTTAAAAGGCAAGGATGAAAATAATTATGATTGTTTTGGAGAGCACATGCAGTGCTCACGGAAAAGCAGTGGAGAAAAAACTTTAAACTGTTTTTTAAAAATAAGAATTTATAAAAAGTAATAATTCAAATTGTAAAGCTTGCCAAGTTTTTTTCCTGACAGAGTAAGAGTAAAAAATATAACGCCCAGCCAGAATTTAAAGTAAGAAAAAGCTTTATTTTAATATAGCTGACTAGCGATGTAAGAATTGGATGTGCTAACATACGATGTTGGTATAAATATACTACGACGTCCAGTCCTGTACTATAAGCATTTTTCTAATTCAGTACAAAATACCCCGCCTCACGCCGTTATGTCATTCGACGCTGGTACCAGTTTTTATGCCAGTGGAAAACCAACACCGTGAAGTACCGTACTTTTTGGCAACTATTTTGAGAAATAGTTGTGGGATACCAAATGTTACCTTTATCAAAGAAAAATAATTTTATTTGACAAGAACACAGCTTAAAAAGCAAGCAGAGACAATTGGATTGGATACAATAAGTGTATTAAACAGCAAACATTCCAAAAAACAAATGTATTATTGGGGGAAGTGGGGGGCGGTAGATAATGAGTATTACAAAGTCCACAACCCTTGAGGGCGCAGAATATTTTTGATGCAGCAGACACGTATGATGTGGGCAAAAAAATAAATAAATAAATAAATAAAAAATTGCGGATAAAGGTTGAGCCCCATTAATAAATAAGACAGCTCTTTTAACCCTAGTTAGAAGTTTTAAACTAAACCCTTTTAGTGCATTTATGTACATATTTGTTTTGTTTTCTTTAAAACAAACACTTTCTTAAATGCAAAAATACATGTTAAATAAAATTACTGAAAAGGTATACATATATCTCAAACTAAGGCATAAATTAAAATGGCCTTTACTCTCTGTATTCTTGTACATTTATAGGAGGAATAAAAAAAGGATTTGACAGGACTGTATCTCCTGGATGAGGTAGGAATGGTGTGTGCATGTTCGTGTGTGTGTAAGTGAATGTGAGTGTGTGTGTTTAAGTGTGTTAGAGAATGAGTGTGTGTGTGTGTGTGAGCCTTTAAAGGAGCATGTGGCAGTCGGATAATTCAGTGTCTGAGTTTTACTGGCCCAAGGCTGTTGGGGGAGGGGGGTGGATAATTTTTATATTATATTATAATATTATAATTATGTAATATTATTCATATTAATCTAAATCTGCAAAATAATATTACTAAAGCCTTGAAATAGATCTAGTTGAATACACCCCATGCTCCCCTTTTTAAACACAGTGATCACTAAGCAGTACAGTGTTGTGCGGATTACATAAAGCTTCGAAGCAAAGAATTTGCATTGAGGATTTTTTGTAATCGATTTACTCAATGAATCGTTGCTGCCCTACTTGAATTCTCATTTTCTGGAAAGCATTTTGCATGACCTGTGTGTACGAAAATGTGCTATACAAATAAATTTGACTTGACCTGATAGAGGTAGAGAAGCTCACCTGTACCGTCTTCAGCTGCTGGGCCTGCAGGGCGGACTGCTGGGAAGGAGCCAGCAGCTGGCTGGTCGTGCTGACTGCCTGGACCCCCATCACAGGCTTCCGGTCGGCACGGCCACCAATGGTCACCACCTGGAACTGCTGCAGCGGCGCCTTGGCATCGGCAGCGCCCTGCACAGAAGCGGCCTTGGCCCCTGTGTGGGACAGTGTCAGCATGATGGGCTGCCCCCCCTTGGGCAGGGTGGTGACGACCAGCTTCTGTCCCTCCTGCTTGGGCGCCTGAGCAGGAGACCTGGTGTCGGCGGACACCTTGTTCAGAATTATCTGATGGTTGGCAGGGATGGCGAAAGGTGTGCTGAGTTTCTGCAGCCCGCTGCTGACCCCAGGGCTGCCAGACTTGCCAGCAGAGGGTGTGGCAGGCCTGTGCACTGCCGCACCAGAGGAAGTCAGCAGAAGCTGGGTCCCAGTGCTGATGCTGCCCAGGGTGGAGTCCGCAGTCGTGGACGTGGTCAGGGCCTGTGTCCTCTGTGTCGGCATGGCAACCACATTCAGGGCCACCATCTCCGAGAGCTCTGTCTCCATGGGCGCCGGCGCCTCCGCCTGGCCGGTGAGCACAGTGCTCTCAGCCGGGAGCTCATCCATCACAATGGCCTCCGTGTCCATGATCTCATCGGGAAGGAGGCTGTTCAGCTCCGGTGACACCACGTTCATCTTCGGAAGCCTTTGGCTTAGCCACTGCAGAGAGCAGGAAGCAGTCATTCAGTCCCAGAGGTAACTACACTTGTGCTCAATCCCATTTAGTTTAGTTGTCATGACACCAAAACAGAGGTTATTTAAGAAATTTACAAGAGTTCTGCAGTATCTACAAACGACACTACTCCCAAAATTATTCCTACAATGTTAGCATCTTTTCAGCAAACCAATTTAAGGGCACTTTCCCACTACACTAGGCACTGAACTTTTGGTATTTCAAAACAGTACCAAATTGAATGGTACATCTTGTGTTTGTTATACAAAACTGGCACCAACAGAGAATGACATCAGTACAACACAAGACAGGGTGTTTTGCACCTAATACATAAATGACTATAGTATATTATAGCAGTAGAGGACTTGGGTCTCTTCATTTCTCCACACATCCATTACTACAGTTTATTTATTTTATTTAATGTTTTCTGAGTTTGTAACTATGCTTCCCCCCCCCAAGATGATGGCTGAATTTTTGGTCTCAGAGGCAGGTTATTCGCATAACCAATCAACAAATTAACATGTCTATAAACCCCACACCACAGAACCAAAGTACCACAGGAGTACCCCAACTGGTTTAGTATTGGACCAGAAATCAATGGGAAAAAGAGACGTACTCATTTTGTAGTACCCAAAGTTCAGTACCTAATGCAATAGAAAAGCACCCTAAAGTTTAAGCCTTGTGAATTTTCAAAACCAAGATCCAGTTTTGTAATACATGTTATGGATAACAAACACTCACAGAAATAAGTCAATGGGTCTAAGTTAAATGAAAGCAATCAGATAAGACACAGGATCTCAACCTGCAAAATAAGAGTACTGTTGCTATAAAATTTACAGATAGAACTCTTCTTCTCAAGCAGACATGACTGAAATGGATGAAAAGCCAAACGGTCAGATCAGAAAGTGACCAAGCCTAACGGTCAGACAGCTACATGATGACCAGCCTGTGGTCTGGATTCTAATGCCTGCAGTCAGTAGGGAGCCATAAGTGTGGCCTCACTGGCAGTAAGATGGCTTGGGAGTCCTTAAAATACAGCCACAGGAAAGCCCCAAGAAGAGCCAGCTGCTTGAATCAGCTGAGAGGTGCAGTATGGCTGTAGCTAGCAACTATACAGCTTACTGCAACACCAAATAAGCCATTAATATAGCGTCATATTGCTCATCAGTATACCACCTGCACAACTTAAAGGATGAACACAACAAAATTTCCAAAAGGCTAGCCTGCTACAAAGGCACGTTTGTTCAGGTGTACCAAGTTTATAAGTTTAAGTTAATTTACCAAGAATCCCATGTCAAAATCCATAAAATATAGGGTGCATGCGGCAGATGCTTAGTGAAGAAATAAAAATGTCATAAATACTGTCTTATTAGAGATTATCCAGCACAGTGTAATAATATATGTTTGCAGGTCACCTGTCAATAGGTACTGTTCAAACGGTTTTGGTGAAGTTGAGTCGTTTGCAGCAAAGTGTACACGTCTCAAAAAAGATGATAGTCTACTTAACACGATGACATTTTCTGACACAACATGACAGATTATCAAATAGAAACCCGGTGTTTCATCGGAGAGGCAAGTCAACAAACCGGGCAACACGGAAGTCCAGAGCATCCCCAATCTGTGTGGGTTAAAGACGGCTCCGTCTTCGGCTTTAAATTAACCAGCTGCGTACCTCGGTCTCCCAGCCCGGCGCCGGGGCGGCAGTGAAACAACGGCCGCCGACAGAGAGCCGGCAAAGGGGAGCCGAGCTGCGCGGACAGGCGCTCGGCGAGGGCGATTCCGCGGGACGTTGGCACACATAAGACGGTCGGCCGACGCAAAGGACGCCGCCACAGCACTTAAGCTAGTTCGTTTAAATAAAAACTCCAGATACTGGCACCGTCTGCCCAAGTGTCTCAGGCCTCCGAATTCCAGAAATGATATCTGTCCTGCCTAAACGCCAAAAATAAGAGCAGAAGGTGCCGCTAGCTAGCCGGCTAGCACGCTTTTCATCTTCCCGCTGCCTGCGGCGGAGCGGCTCGCATCTCCCCGGTCGCGGGCTTTCGGCTCCGCGCGCCCGGCGTGAAGCCAACGAAGTGGGTTGGTGGGTGGTTGGGAGAGGACAAAAAGACCTAGGCATCGATTCGGAGCGTCGGAGAGGGGGGGAAGAGAGCCCCGCTGAGCCGCGGTTCTATTTCGGGCTGGGATAGGATTTCGAAAGATCCGCCATTTTCACCCCGTCATCAGCTTGACCCGGAGAGCGGGAGGTGGGAGGCCGCGAACGCCCTTTGCGGAGTCGGCGGCGCGGCGCGGCGGGGCGGGGCGGCTCGGACGGCGAAAACAAGCTGTCAGTCCGATTAAATGCTTAAACAACTTTCCCGTACTTAAGGTGTAAAACACGGCGAAAAGTTAGTCTACCTACAATCATGACGGCAAAATCATAGAAGCGAAAAAACATTGAGTTATTCCCCTTCTAAATGCACAGGAAAAAAGGAAAGTTTTGTTATAAAAAAAACACGTAAGCGATGCATTGTACGTTAGGATACTTTATATTTAAGTATAACTAACATGCGTGCTGCTGAGATGAGAAATTAGCGTCACACTTCCGAGGTAAATACAAAAGGATCAAATAAAATATGATAATAACGTGGAAAAAACAAAACGCTTGGTCAATAGCTACGTCATCAGAAGTGCCATTTTCAGCCAAAAGACAAACCCTAAAAAAGCATCATAGGTTCAACAGTATGTAAAAATTGTTTATGAACTACAGTTTACTATAGACACATTTCTAGCGAAGCCAACGGTGTCCAATTTTGGGGGAAATTATTTTAACAATATGCATAACTGAAGTACAACGTTCACTGTTAAAAAGCGTAAACGTTTCAAGTTACAAATTTGTTGTCAATCCCGGATTAGCCGATTTTTTAATAAATTCTACACGACGCATTTATTACATAAAGAAAATAAGTATTATAAGAGGAAAACGGAACAACCTCGATGGCCCAATTACCATAACCGTTTCTAGATTACAGTGAAAAAGAGTGTCAAGGAAGCGTAATGGAAAATTACTGTGAATGAGGTTTGGCTCAACTAATCTGTTCTACATTGCTTTATAGTGCATCTTGCAGTAGCTTCTACTACTAACCAAAGACAAAGGTCAAGTCGTGAGTAACGTAGACAGCTTCAGCTGTTCAAAACCCATGTGAAACCAGCCATGAATTGTGCTGGAATTGTCACCAGATACATAGCCATATCACTAGATAAAGTAAGGATCTTGGCATGAATCGGTCAGCGTAAAATGCAGTCATACTGAGGTCTCCATGTCAAACACACCAATCGTACTCGCTGTAACGGTATATTAAATTAGAAAACATATTTCACTGAGCTGGCCAGGCATATAAGGCACCGCCTCAATGCCAAGATTGCTCAAGCTAGCTTGCTGAATTGCCCATCAACTTAAAAGGCCCCCGTTTTTATATCTCCGCTCCATGCGCGGAATAAGGTTACCCAAGTGAGTATATTCCTCCATCTCTGGTAACTGCCTCACTATAACCAGACAGGCTGGGCAGCTGCGATTATTTTTATCTGTTTTTAGCTAGCAGCTAGTGCCCAGTAGTTCATCTCTCGTTGGACTGATAGGCGGCGGAACTCTGGACTTCTTACATGGATCACCGGTGAATGTGTCTTTTACAATCGATGTTCGCGACCTCAGCCTTCTTTTTGCATCCTCCTCGGCTCAACCCAGCTGTCTGCTACTACATCCCGATCACTCGCAAAAGCAGGGATTTGTTCAAAATCACGCGCCGAGCGCCATTTCACCTCTGCAATCCCATAATAATGCCATGTCCTCCTTGGAAACGACGTACCGCGTCATTCGGCCCATGCGTGACTGCGTGCATACGTCTGCTACTCGACCCCACCACCTTCCTTAGTACCGTTAGGCTGTTTTTAATCCAAGTTAACAATACTAATTTGAAGTCCAGTTTTGCTATAGGGAGTTGCATTTCTTCACAAATGTTGTGTTATATTAAAATAGAAACGGCTATATTAGGAATTATATTATTTAGTTAACGGTAGCGTCTATCACCTGGGCTATATGACCTTTAGTACAAGATGCTTAAATCGCAGTATCTTAGTATTCATTGAGTGTTTTGGACGGCGATATAAGTACATGCAAAAGCTTCAAAGTTGTATTAAGTAAGAATCTTAAATTAATGTACTGTTGCACTTTCAATCGCGCACGCATATTTAAGTTAAAATGTGATGCAACTGCGCTCGAAGATTGAAATAACTCTTTGCTGATACAATTTACAAACTACATTTAAAAGGACGGCAAATTTATTAGCAGAGTATTTGTCAGTGAACCACAGAAGCTCTTTAATAGCCCAATGACGCCGTCCAGGGGTAACCTATAATAGGACGAATTATATTAAAGTTAAACCTCAGAATACATCAAAACTATAATGCTTTCTTGCTGTCTACTGTGATGGAGAAATAATACATGTTAAGTAAACGATAGTCTTGATTTTCTAGATATTTTACATGCGAAAATGACAAATTACCTGAATAATAATCATCTCGTCGCTGATTTAATGTTCAATTTATTTCAGTGGACATTAAAACACAACAACGCCATTTCATCAAATGGTTATTACAGGTTGTATTGGCGTTACTGGCGTTTGCCTCGCGCATAATCAAGTTTCCAGCTGCAATACCAGAAAAAGCCGGAGAAATAATAGGACTTAATAGAATTAGCCGGTACGAAATACATCCACCCGTAACTGTGCGGGGTGATGCAGCGCCCTCTGTGATGGATCGATCGCTCGCTCGATCGCTGGCTGGCTGGTTGCCTCTTTACAGCGCGTGGCCCCTCTCTGACGGATGGATGGTTCCATGCCTCGCGAGCGCTGTTGATGCTTCACTGGAGAAAATGGCGGCCGCAGTCAGGCAGGAGCTAGCCCAGCTCATGAACTCAAGCGGGTCTCACAAAGACCTCGCTGGAAAGTAAGTGGTCCGTTACTCCGCGGAAGTCCCGGGGAATGTCTATGTTAAATGCTTAAAACATGACTGAGAAAATTATTTGTAATTTACGGAAAGCTCCGTCCTGGTAGGATCCACCGTGAGCCGGCCACAGACTCGTCAAGTCAGTCAGTGAGGCAGCTAGTGAGCTAGCTAGATAGCCGAGTAATTGCATTTCCAGTTGGCACAAGATTGTTACCTATTAATCTCTTAACAGGTAAACTTTGCAAATCAGACATAGGAGGGATCATGTATTGACATTAATTAAGCGTAATGAAATTTGAATGAACTTTAAGGTGAATGTGGCGTACAGTTAGCCTAGCTGTATGCTATGTCATCATGCTATTTACTATGCCGAAGCTATTTGGTAGTTAGCTGGCTACTTATCTAGCTTGGCACTAGCCAAGTGGATGTGAATTATTGCAAGCATGGGTTTTGTCGATTAAAACGTACAATTAAAGTGAAGATTGGTGCTAGTTTTCCCTGGCCAGTCAGCTAACATCTGATGACCACAGTCGGGCATCTGTAGCTGTTGCAGATAGGTGGACTTCACACTGTCCAATTCAATCGTATTTGTCGACAAACAACATCATTGAGTGATTAAGTTATATTTACATTTTTATTTTATTCAATTTTTATCTATAATCATTAATGTCATATTTCGTGTTGAATTGGTATTGTTATTATGGTAGTCAGGTCATGTTTGTAATTAAATTTCAGTTCACGTTATGAAAGTATGTTTTGCGTTAGTGTGACCATGGTAGACATCCTTCTCGGTATATTTATGTGGTTAATATCACTTTTATAGGCTGCATCATTTACTTCAGCCAGATCTTTTACAATCTTGCTAATTTAAAAAGAAAAATCATTTAAATGACAGTTTAAGGTCACTGGATTTTCGTGGCTTCTCTATGCAGAATCTGGAATTATCTAAAAGTAGTGACATTTGTCTTATTTTTTTCTGGTGTTTAAGTATTCTATTTAGAAAAATACAGAAATGTACAAAAGCTAAATGCAATATAAGGAGATATTGCTGTTGGTACTCTGGATGGAATTAAATGGCAGTTAATGGCAGCTTCTAGAATTAAACACTGCAGACATTTTGTTTCCCTGCAGATACCGACAGATTCTCGAAAAGGCTATTCAGTTTACCGACGGGGAACAGCTGGAGGCATTAAAAGCATTCGTTGAAGCCAGTAAGTAGCCTTCTGCTCTTAAATGGGTGTACAAAACATCTAGACGATTCTGTAACCTACTGACTTGAGCACTTTCTGAGGATACTGAATGTTTTTTTTTTTTACTTGTATGCATTTCTCTCAGATGTCTTTGCCTTGCCATATAGGGTTTACTCATCAGCAGTGTTCTCTCCCCCCCCCCCCCTTTCTTTTAGTGGTCAATGAGAATGTCAGCTTAGTGATTTCCAGACAGCTGCTGACGGATTTCTGCACTCATCTCCCTAATCTCCCTGACAGTACGGCCAAGGCGGTCTATCACTTCACCCTGGAGAAGATTCAGCCCAGGGTCATTTCTTTTGAAGAGCAGGTGAGGGGGCTCATTTGGATGGGTGTTGGGCAGAGGGTCACATTCGCTGTCGTCCAGCTCTCTGTTTATGGCCCAGTTCAGTTCCACAGCTATTGCATGCTTATTATTAAATGCATATATACCTATGCACCTGTATTTTTGATGGTAGTCACTTATTTCTTTGTATGAAAAGGATCTTTTATTTTCATCCATTCTTATTGTATCATTTTTGCACATTTAAGAAGTGCCAAAGGGTATCTCACTATCAGATCAAATCAGATTCAACTTTATTGTCATCATTCATAGTACAGATACAATGCCAATGAAATGCAGTTAGCATCTGACCAGAAGTGCAGTAATAGCATTAATTATATAAAGTACTGTAATAATTTACAGTAAAGTGCAGAAGTATAAAGCATGTACAGAAACCAGAAGGGTATAGCATTTGCCATATATGGAAATGTATGGTCATGTACAGATATACAGATATATACAAAACTAAAAGGAGTCATATATATATAAGATGTATGAAATGTTATTTGTCACGAACAGAAAACAACAGTAAGTAAATGGATGAGATTTATGAGGTTATGCCTGAAAATTGGCACGGCATGGTTCTTTCTTCACAGGTGGCTTCTATCAGACAGCATTTGGCAACCATCTATGAGAAGGAAGAAGACTGGAGGAATGCCGCTCAGGTTCTCGTGGGCATTCCGCTGGAAACAGGACAAAAGTAAGTTTATGGACTATGGTTAGGTAGACTTTGCACTGCGGACACCTAAACTCACCCTCAGATTTGTGTGCTGTGTTAGGAAATTGGGGAGGTGTTTGAACTCACATCATTCAAAGTACCTAAGAGCAATTTCAATCTTGCATGCAAGTCCAGTATATATAAAATACCAGCGCATCTTAATCCTAGATTGTCATATACCACCTGCTTATTTAAAGAACCACCAGCACTTCTATCTATAAAGGTGCTCAACAGATCTTGATTTACATTTGACATTTGCCATCTGGTTATTCAAACAAAAAACCTAAATGCCAGTCTTATGAGCTAAAATTGAGGCACTGTGCTAAGTTTAATTGAACTTACATTAATTGTAAGGCTAATGCATAGCGAACCCAAAATTTCTTTCATTATAAACGTATGGATGGTACATATGTACTGTTTCCCCTTTCCCAGGCAGTATAATGTAGACTACAAGCTCGACACGTACCTGAAGATCGCTCGTCTATACCTGGAAGATGATGACCCTGTACAGGCGGAGGCATACATCAACCGAGCCTCTCTCCTGCAGAATGAGTCTACCAATGAGCAACTTCAGATTCACTATAAGGTGCCTGATGTGGGCTTGTCTCCATGTTTATTTGCATGCAATGCGACTGATTAGCTTTTTTCTGTTGCAGCAAAACATTGCCTGAACTTCTAGTTTATTGAGAATGGAAGCTACAGTCCATAATCCATATTTTGATGGATATCTGTATAAAATAATTGACTGAGAATGTTGAGCGTGACATGCCTTACCATGTCAGTCCCAGAAAGTGCCTGCAGTTAGTAACCATGTGGAATTCCCATCATGCACTGCGGAGTGCAAGCTAAGCTCACGGGGTTTCCTCTCCCTAGGTGTGCTACGCCAGAGTCCTGGATTACAGGCGGAAGTTCATTGAGGCGGCACAGAGATACAACGAGCTCTCCTACAAGTCCATCGTGCACGAGAGTGAGCGTCTGGAGGCGCTGAAGCATGCCCTACACTGCACCATTCTGGCCTCGGCAGGTACGGTGGGCGCTCACTACACATGTTTGGCCAATGGTGTTACCAGCAGACACAGGCGCCATGGCGATATTGCCACGTGTCGCCAGTGATCGCGCGAACCAAAGCTCCAAAGACAGCTCAGAAGGTGTCTCCTGAAGGCATTTAGGGGCTCTGCCACTAAGTGCACCTTGACACACTGACCATCAGGGTGCATTCTTTCCCCGTGCACAGGCCAGCAGCGCTCCCGCATGCTCGCCACCCTCTTCAAGGACGAGCGCTGCCAGCAGCTTGCCGCGTACGGCATCCTGGAGAAGATGTACCTGGACCGCATCATCCGGGGGAACCAGCTGCAGGAGTTTGCGGCCATGCTGATGCCGCACCAGAAGGCCACTACGGCGGACGGTCAGTCTCCAGGCACCACACGCCCCCCAGCCACAGAATAATATTCAGCACAGCAGTCCCCTCATATCCGTGGGGACATGTCATGCAAATGCCTGTAGCTGCGGATAGTGCCAAACCATATATATGTATGTAATATATTTATATTTGTGTGTGTGTGTGTGTGTGTGTGTGTGTGTGTGTGTGTGTGTGTGTATGTATGTATGTATGTATGTATGTATATATATATATATATATATATACACACACACACACACATACAGTGGTACCTCAGTTATTGAACTCATTAGAACTCAAATTTCTTAAAAGTCGAACCAACCAGTTCGAAAAAAAATTACCTAGAGCTCGATCTGAATCTCAGAAGTCAAACCGTGAACGCCGACCTAAGATAAGTTGTACGCGCGGGGAAATGAGTTGCGCGGCACGTCTCTCAGCAGAAACAAAGGGTAACGCTTCAGTCTCAGCATCGCATTTGCTGTGATAACATCCTGCATGTTTACACTAGCTGAATACATATATTTAGACAGTAAAAATACATTTAGACAATGATAGACAAGTAACAGTATTATAATAAAATACATTTAAAAATAAAGAATTCTTATTCATTATTTTAATATTAATAATAAACCATTAATACGTTTAATTATAATAATATTGTCGTGCCAAGAGGGGAGGGAACGGAGACAAAGGCGCAGACGTCAGGGTATTGGGGAATATGGGGTTTAATTGCAGGTAAGGCAGGCAAAACGCAGATGGACAATACAATGACCGGACTGGGGAAACAAACTGAAACACGGACGAAATACAGAGGGCTAATGAAAACAACTAGAAACAGCTGATCACACGGGGAATTCACACAGAGTTAACGAGGGGGCGTGACACCCGGAAGGAGCGGACGATCGGGGCAGGACACATTGTTTGGACACATTTTCTTACTTTACAAATTACTGTTTTGATAACTGCTTCGATGTGTTTAGTACAGTATATGCTCTTGTTTTATCCGGTTAATTTTGTGTTTAAATGCTTAAAAAAACATATTTCGGTATAATTTTTTGGGGCCGGGAACCAATTAATTGGTTTTCCATTATTTCTTATGGGGAAAATTCGATCACGACTAGAACTTTTTAGGATTCGATCCGGAGTTCTGAACGGATTAAATTCAAGTTATGAGGTACCACTGTATATACATACACACACATTATTGTGTATGAATAATATGAATTATTTCTGGAATTTTCCATGTAATATTGTTGGACCGCAGTTGACTGCAGGTAACAAACTGCAGATTGGGGAGAATCACTGTACATCTTATACTCAAGTCCAACCTGCTCTGCCTTGCTCCTTTTACAGTAGAAATAATCGACTCTGAAAGGAAATATTTAATAAGTTAAGTCACTTTATTGTCATTTCACACATATGAAATGAAGATGCCTTTCTATGGAGCAGCATACATCCAGAATAAGGAACAGTTGTGATAGAGCATTAAACAGTAAATAGTGGGGCAAGGATAAAGAATAAAATAAAGCAAAAGAAGGAAAAAAGTACATAACAATGACTGCAAATAACCGAAACAGTGTAGCGCAAATATATTTAATGTGGTAAATCTTGTAACGGCTATTCCACCCCCCCCCCCCCCCCCCCCCACAGGCTCCAGCATATTAGACAGGGCCGTCATTGAGCACAACCTGCTGTCTGCCAGCAAGCTCTACAATAACATCACCTTTGAAGAGCTAGGCGCCCTGCTGGAGATCCCTCCCGCCAAGGTAAGGGCTTGCAGTTCAAACGGAGCCTCCTCTGTGCACAGCAAAATGGCCCCTGCACTCCTGCTGTCACGGGAAAGCTGTCTGCACCTTGGCCCCGTTTCCAAATGGCCCGTTCCAATTTCGGCCCTAGAAATGGCAGGTTCTGTCTTTTAACTGAAGAAGACTGAGAAATTGGTCACTATTGTGTTGAAGAGTGGTTTGATGCATTCATTGCATATTTTTTTTGCATGTTTGTATGGTGTGGCAAGTTGTTTGTTATTCCATAGCATATAGTTGTTGGAGTGACAAGGTGAATTTTTTTCCTCAGTCTGGGGAAAATTAACCCTTTGGTCTATTTTCCCACCCTTCTGTTTATTTTGGAATTTCGAATTTCGGAACGCATGTCGGTTATTTTAAAATATGAGACGTTTCAAGTGGAAATTTTAACGTGTCTCTGACCTTTTGTCAGACTCACCTGTTTGAGAATTTAAAAGAAAAAATGTCCACGTTTTTGTGTTTTTTAATGCCTGCTTTATAGCAGCGCTGTGCCCGTCTCCGGGTGGCTTGTATTTTGAATATATGTGTGTCGTTGTGCAGGGCGATTGTTCCAATGAGGATGCCCCTGGTTACAGAGCCAACTTGGTAGGGAACAAATACACTACTTTACTAATAAATCAAGTGTGACCCAAAATGCAAACTAAAAACCGGAACTGGAACGTGGTTGTCAGTGCTTCCATCGAAGACAAGTGTGTAATATGTGGAGTGCACTCCCCTTATAATAGCTTTGCTGCTGAAATATGGAATTTTATGGATCTATTCGATTTTACATACAATAGAAAGGGACCATTGGCTCCAAGCGTAGTTTTAGCATTTTGATTTGTTCGTTCTTAAATTAGAGGAATTGAGTATAAGTATCCGATATTGATGGGATATTTAGCCTGTATCCAGCAGAAGACTGTTTTTTAATGTGGTATTCAGGGCTGTTTGGCCTAAATCAGGCTTTTATTGGTGTGTACATGTTCTCTCTTAGTGAGGTTAATGACACGAACAGCTGATAAACAGCTTGGCAGTTATTTTGGTTGTGTAGGGAAAAAGGTGACTTTTTTTCTAGGTAAGTAAACTCAAGAGCTACATAAAACCTGAATCTGCCTCTACTGGCTCCTGGCAAGAGAAGAGATGAGGCTGAGGCTTTTCGGGGGCTGAGTAACCTGAAATGAACCACACTACTAGTTCTGCAGAAGAGCACGAATTTATAATTATAGACATTTATTTATATTTGAGACACTAGTCTGCTGTAACAACAGAGATTGACGTTCCACCTAAAATCTGTCTGGTTTCTATAGCCCAAATGGTTTTACCCCCTCTCATATAAATTCGTTTTGCTGCTGAATATACTTAACGTTTATTTTCATTATTCCCTTCAGTTTTGTAGTCCTGCAAAATAGCTTAGACAATTACAAATTTTTCTGTTAATGTAAGTTACTGTTTAGCGATCATTTCACCACCTTTTTGTTGATGAAATACATTAAGAGTCAAATTAATACTTTAATATGTGTAAGAATCTGTCGGTGGGCCTTTATGACCCTGATTATAATGGGAGTGAGCTGTCATTTTGTAATAGTCTGGATGCAACCAGCCAGCATTACGAGCACTAACGTGTTCTTGGTTCAAAGTGTAAAAACGTGGTGCTGTGTACTGTTGCAGGTAGACTAACCTCTAACACGTCATTCGTAATTGTCACTGAGCAGAGTTTTACATGAGTGGCCTCGGCACACTAAACCTTGAAGCGAGTCTAAACACTGTTGTGTGTTGTGAGTGTGACACTTCCGGCCATGTGCCTGTGTCTGGTGGGGTGCGGCTAGATGTATGAGTGACCACCTCTGTTGTCGTCCACAGGCGGAGAAGATCGCCTCGCAGATGATCACAGAGGGGCGAATGAACGGCTTCATTGATCAGATAGACGGGATAGTCCACTTTGAGAGTGAGTATGCTTCCTCTTGGGGCAGCATTGGCAATGTGATCTTCTTGGATGCTACTTAACGTCTTCAGAAATGTTGCCGGTTTCCATGGCATCTCAAGGCAAGGTTTAGCGTAACTGAATATGATTCATTAACGAAATCCAGTTTCCGGTTCACATACTGCTTAAAGTTAAGGGTATCTATCAGGATGTATTACTGTGAGTGTTTTTGATAATCAGCAAACTCAATTGAGCTCTCTAGTAAATAAAGTAACATGCTTGATAATAATTTCCCCGCTAGGCATGTAACGATGAATCGCGAATCGTTAAAAATTGATGTGCATGTATTACGATTTAAACCAGCTGATGTGGAAAATGAATTCATGGTACTTTACTTAACAGAAAAACTGGTGTAATATTACATTTGATTTCACAACGTCAGTTCGATGTCAGATGTCGCTGCGCATTCAGTTTTTGGCTTTGGCCGAACGCGAGATTGAGAGCGAATTTGAAAATTGAGGACACACCCCCCGATCTTAAATCGGCGGTGTGGCAGCATTTTAGCTTTCCGTTAACCACAAACGAAAACAGAGAGAAAAGCACAGACAAGACAAAAACTGCGTGCACATGTTGTAAAAGACTGATAACATACACAAATAGCACAACGAACATGCTTCAGCATGTCCACCGGCACCACAGTGAGCTCAATTCACCACCACCAGAGCGAAGATTATTAAAAGGGCAAACCACGCTAAAAAGCTGCACATGCAAGCCTTAGTTTATTTGGTAATGCTTTATATTAAGTGTACCTTAATAATGCATTCATAGAACATTCATAAGCAGCATCCAAGTACACTTTAACATCCTAACATCCCTTAACAGCTTTAATATACATTAATAACAAACATTACATGATAATACAATTATAATGTTTATTATATAATGTTTGTTATTAATGTATATTACAGCTGTTAAAGGATGTTAGGAAGTAAAGGTATACATGCATGATGTTTATGAATGATTTCTGAATACTTAATGAATGCATTATGAAGGTGCAGTTAATGTAAAGCGTTACTGTTTATTTGAGTTGCACTGTTGAGAAAAGGACACATTTTGCACAGTTTAGAAAGATAAAGGAATATTTTTGAGTAAATTTGTCTGCAGCTCATTCTGTTAAAAAATCGTGAGAAAATCGTACCGTGAACTCTGAATCGTGAATCCTATCGAACCGTGAGTTTAGTGTATCATTACATCCCTATTCCCCACAGTGCTGGGTTATGGTGTCCCGTGACTTTGCCGTCTGGTGCAGCTGTTAAATGTAACAAAATGTTTTGGCTGTTTCCCCCGTTAGCACGCGAGCCGCTGCCCACCTGGGACAAGCAGATCCAGTCGCTGTGCTTCCAGGTGAACAACCTTCTGGAGAAGATAAGCCAAGCAGCCCCTGAGTGGACGGCCCAGGCCATGGAGGCCCAAATGAGCCAGTAGTCACCCTGGCCGGCTCCCTTTATCGGACAATGCTCTGACCCAGATCGCCTGCTCTGCTCCACAAGTAGGACAAAGGTTACAGAAGCACTGTTGAGTGTCAACCAAAAAGAAAATCTGTCTTTTGACAAAGTACTCAAGTTAGATCAAAGGAGTTCACGGTTTCCCTGTTTTTTTTTTTTCTTTTCTTTTCTTTTTTTTGTCCCCCTTCTTCGAAAGAAGAATACTTTGTTAGACAGCTTCAGTCTCTGGATGTGGAATGTGAAAATCTAATAGCCTCTGTGTGTGCTTTGTGGCCTTAGCCCTGTCACTAAATGCCACACTGTCTTGCTGGTTGCTGGTCAGGTGTGATCAGTTATTCTGCTGGAATGGTATGTGGATCTGCTGGCCTCCGACCCTGAGATGTATCTCGCGGCTGGGCTTCTGACCTCCTCTCAAGTGTGAAATCGGCGGTGTGCAGTCCTGCTCCAAATTGGCCCACACGGCTTGTCTTTTTGATTTCATTAAAGAACTGGATCGAGAGTCACCTTGTATGGTGTTTCAGGAATCACTTACACGCTAATAGAATCATAATTATTAAGCTTGGGCTCTATCCATCAAGGATCAGGGCTGGGCACACCTACTCCAAGCCAGGCTGCGTATGAGAATGTCGTCATCAAGGCTTACTGCATGAAGATATGAATCAAATGACCAAATTTGCACCGAAGACAGATTACATATGGTAATTAAGCTTTGGACTGAAGGAAAAAAATTGAGTTATGAATGGTTCATGTTTAGTCCTTTATTCATAAAAAGAATGGGATGTTGGTTTCAAATGGACAATAGACTCGTTTGTTCATATCTGGTGTTTACCTACATGCTTATTTTTCTGTCATACTAAGTGATTAATTTCCAACATTTTCATCGTAATGTGTTAAGATGTAAATCCTGGGCCTAATGTCTGCCTAGCTTGTTTCACTGAATAAATTGTAAGTTGAAAGTCTGTGTCCAGATATTGCATAATGGCAGGATATGAGTGTGTGTGGCCTCTGGATCTGTAGGTGTGAAGGTCATCTTCCTATTGGGCATGGATCGATATGTGGCCTATCAGGTTAGGGTCCCAGGTTAAAGAGAAGCATAGCCTTAGGTTTGTTCATATATAACAAATTTAGACAATAGACATGCATTATCTTAATAGTATAGCAGATGCGATACATGAGACTGACTTATTCCAGCGTTGGATGTATCGTTAACCACTGTTGGCAGCAGTGTCGAGAGGACGATGGCAGAGATTAATTGCTAATTTTATGAGCACTATATTAATTTTTACCATCTCAGAATATTAGGTAGGTTTTTTTAATTCTGTTTGCCTGTAGCAGATGTCGCCCTGTGCGTGCGTGCGTGTTTGTGTGTGTGCACGTGTGTGCACGCGTGTGCACGTGTGTGCACGCGTGTGCACGTGTGTGGACGTGTGTGGGGCTTTTTAATGCTGATTAACTCTTTCATTTACATTGCAGCTCCTTTGGTATGCTTTTTCCCACTCATGGGAGTATATTTGTGAGAACCCAGTAAGACATCTGAGAACCCCTCCGAGGTTGCTGTGTGTCACGCTGACGCTTGTGCGATTTGGCACTGAGCGTGTTAAGACATGGCTAGCAGAGGCCCCTCGCTCTCTTTTGCGTGCTTTTAAAGGATTTTTATGCTGCTCTTCATAAATGCCAATCTGCATTGGTCAGTATGAAATCCTCTCCTCCCCACAGAGTGTGATCATTGGCCTATGGGCATCTTCGCACCCAGTGTGTTCTTGATGGACCCTGCTTATTCAGGAGCTATCTGTGTACCGTTTTAATAAATGTATGTGAAGTATTTAAACAGAACTGCTGTACGATCTCTTCCATTGGGATTCTCCACCCTTGAAAAGGTGTTAAAGGAATGACCATCAACTATTAGCATTAGCTTTCCAAAACCAATCAGTTAGGATATCAAAACATATAGTTTCATTCTGCATTGCCTTTAATAATAATAATAATAATAATAATAATAATAATACATTTTATTTTAAAGGTGCCTTTCAGAGTTTTGATTTACTATGCAACAGATGTTTTATGTAAAATACAAGTTTGTGGTATTTATATGTTGTTTAGTGGGAGGTGACTTTGAGTAGGATCTGGGATGATTCAGACTGGTGTAGTTTTACTGCTCACTGAAGGCTGTAAACCTGTTAGTAACATGAAATAGCCAGTATTTGGAAGTGGGGTTCCTTTTGAAAAGGAAGCAATTTTGTTTATGCGCTACTGGTAATTTACATTTCTGAAAGAAATTCTTGTATTTGAGTATGGGAACTTGTATTAGAGCAGACTCATTGGCACAATATTATGTCTGTCTTGCTATAGGCAGACATCATTTCTAAAGTGATTCCAGACCACCATGAAGGTCGCTGTATCAACAGATGTTGAAAATAGATGAGTATATTACAGGATTTCTCAATTAAAGCATTAGTGTGGTTAGTACAGGTGGTTAACGCGTTACCACTTTAAATAGGCCAAATACATGGTTATCAATATTGCAGTTTAATCTCTTAAATTGATAAAAGCATTGTTTTTCTGCTTTAGCAAATTAGTGCTGTGAAGTTTGTAATTTATTTGTTCAGCTGGCATTTAAATTTTAGCATCTTCAGCAATTGATAATATTGTCAGCCTCACTGCATGGTCAAATTGGAGTAGTGTAGAATTAATTTATTCATACTGTGGGGTACTGAAAATTAAAAATAAAGCTTTTCTATATTATAGGCAGAGTAGATCAACTAACTAGATCTCCAGATGTTTACAGTGTTTTCCCCAGCTGTTTGAGATTTTTCTGTTTATGGTCCTGTGGAGCTCTTTGAGGTGCTACCTCCAGGTATGTCGTCTCCATAGTTGCTGAGTTACCTTGGTATTAGTGATCATCCTGGATGACTGAAAGCAATTTTCTGCACAAGTTTTGAAGTGATGTCTCTCCAAATTTTCTGCCCTTTTCACTTAAGTCTGGGCTTCTCTCAGTGATGAATTGATTGATGGTTATGTCTAAAATACCCCTAATTCATAAAAGTAACATTGGTATACAAACCTTTCACAAATTTTGAAAGACAGTGTTTTAATAGAAATTTTGTTTACTATGTATGATTATTTGTATTCCCCTAAAGTGGATTTCATATTGTTTTGAGACCGGTCCACTGAAGCAGACTCAATCTTAAGATAACTCAAAAAATATTTGGTGGATCTTTTGCAAACTTGAACTGGAATTGACCAGATTTTGTGACGAGTCACCCCAAAATTTAAGCACCACCACTTAGTGGCAGGAAAGGGAAGGGTGACTGCACATTTACCATTGATCCACCCAGTAGTTCTAGACATAGGCTTGGTGTGGGAGCAGTACATGGGGGGCAGGGGGTGATGGGGCTGTCCTGGCAATACATTGTTGTTTTTTCAACAGCATCTTTTCTAGTTTTATGTAATAAACATAGGGTATTTGGCATTTGGATAGGCATTTTTTCAATTGAATTTTTAAACATTTAGATAGAAATGGTTAGCTATAAAAATATATTAATGTAATAATGGACATGGATTTCTTCCTTGTAAAAACTTTATCCCAATATGTTCAACATACTCTACATCTTACACATGTAAAGCATCATGACTGAAACAGCAAATGACGCGGCAGTAAATAGTAAGTATGTAGCACAGTGGCTGTCTAATTCTGGTGCATGATACCATTTTAGCACCTGAGCTATCAGTCACTGAGGTGGTTTGTGTTTGTTTTGATTGTCTTGGAGGAGATCTGAACACTTTCTTTTAGAAGATGCCTTGCTCCTTTCGTTTCTCTATGTCTCTCTTCAGCTGACAGACAGAACAGATGAAACAGCAGTAGTGCACAAGGAAGTCCTTGCAAAGGGATCCCTGGAGACCAAAAATGGCGCAAAAAGTTATTAGTTATTTATGCTTGAAAAGTATCTGTCTTTAAAATAGCTTTAGAACATTTGTTTATACAGTAATACAAGGTAAAACATTGCACTAATGTTTCACACCACCTGGATGGGGGATTTGAATCCTGTCCTCCACTCTGTGTATGTGGAGTTTGCATGTACTCTGGTATCATCTGACAGTTCATGCATGGATGAATGTCCGTGGTGTTTTATCCAAATGATAATTGCTAATATAATAATAGTTATTCCTATAGCAAACAGTTCATTGTTGTGCTTTATAATATCCTCCTGCCCAAATTAGCACACCAGAATATGGGGCAGGGTTCCTCAATTTCGGGCCTTAAAGGCCAGAATCCAATACAGTTTGCACATCTCCATGTTTAAACACATCTTAATCAGCTCATTACCAGTTTTAGTAGGTGTGTCTGAGTAGTGCGTCTCAAGAGCTTGACCCTTCCCAACGCTAAGCAAATGCAAACCAATCACAGAATGTTTTTGCTCATCGTGTATAAGAAAGAAAGAGTTTTTTTTTTTTTTTTCAACAAACTTTTTGAACTTTTACAGTCAAAAACACTGCCCCTGGACCCTCTAGAGCACAGGTGTCAGACTCCAGTCCTGGGGGGCCGGAGCCCTGCACATTTTTGGGTTTCCCCTCGTTTAACACACCTGAATCAACTTCTTGTGCTAATTATGACATAGCTGTTCAGCTGAATCATTTGTGGTGGGATAGGGAAAGAACTAAGCTACACAGGGCTGCGGCTCTCCAGGACTGCAGTTTGACACCCCTGCTCTAGAGAATCTGATGGCCCACTCTACATCTTACAGCTGCTGCCATTAATGTGTGCAAGGACATGCTTTGAATTGTATGCACCAGAGGGAGGAGAGCTCACCTTGATGTTGTACTTGGTCCTATAAACACTCCGCATGGGCAAGCTGAGGCCACACAGGCAGCACTCATCCATTTCACTGGCAATGGAGCAGCCCATGCAAGGAAGGCACCAGAAGCCATAGCAGCCTAGGAGGGGGGAGAGAGGGTGGCGACCTAGTCAACTGCCTGATCAGAAAAAAGTCGAGCCGTCTAGTGACAGTCGGCACTGTAGTTAGAGCGAAGGACGTGCCCATCATGAAAGATGCACTCACATGTGCCGCAGTCAGAGCAGAAACTGCACAGACCAGTCTGGAAGTCGGAAGGCTCGTATCTACCAGGTTGGTTGGTTACTGCCATATCGTAATCACTGGAAGAAAATTAACATTAGTATCAATAACAGAGGAGAAAACATATTACACTGTAAGACTACCTTAATTCAATTTAATGTAGCTGAAGGCCAAATAAAATAGATTATTGTCTAATTACTGTATGGTACTCTGAGTGGATTTGGGGGTTATTTAAAAGGAAATCTGAAGTAAGAAGGCCATTCTTAAATTTACATTGTTAAAACCACCAAACTTTTATTCAAGGTACTTGTGAACATTATCAGTACTCAGCGGGATTATGAAGGGATTCTATGAAATGACCTCTTAGTGAAATGTAAGTAGGCCTAAAAATCTCAAAATGCCGGGATAGCAGATGTGTGTAGGGCTGGATTGGGATTAAAAATCGGCCATGGACTTTGGGGTCCCCTGTGATTATTTTTGCTGACCACGGTGGGTGGGGAAGGGGGGGTACATTTTGCCAGCCCACGTACCCATCGACCCACCGGGAAGATCCTAGTCCAGCTCTGGATGTGTGTGAAGTTGAAGATCATTTAAAAGTGAACATGGTATAGAAAACTGACCAGATTTAGTAATGAGAAATAAATATTTCACGGGTCGGTACTTTGAGACCTCTTATAAGTGGTGAACAAGCCAATGAAAAACGTTATCCTCTACTACAGACAGTGGCGAATTAACAAGTTCAGGGCCCCCTAGGCTGTACTTTCCATAGGCTCCTCTTCTGCCCCCACTCCCCAAAATGATACAACAATTAGCTCTAGAACTATTAAATATTAGAAACTATAAAATCATTTCTATAGTCAAAGAGAATGTGACGCTGTATGAAA